CAGTTGGGCAAGAGAGAAAAGGAACACAGGAAAAGGAAGAGACAAATTATGGTGAGGAATTTGAAAAACAAGGAAAAATATAAGTCAAGACCGAGCCATGAGTCAAGACCAAATGCCACTAAATCTCTCTCTCTCTCTCTTTCTCTCTCTCTCTCTGCCACTCATTCTTTCTCTCTCTCAGTTTAATGGACTGCTGGGAGTTTAGAGAAGGTTCCTGCAGAGGCTTAAACCTCTACAGAGAACTTTTGAAAGACCGAGTGCCACATAAGATCAGGAGCTCCTGGCCAAAAAGGCTGTCAGCTAGTTACAAAAATCTTATTTATCTTAATTATTTATTCCACGGTTTTCTATATTTTTGCTTAATGCCAGTTTCCCAATCCAGAAACATTACTGGGCATTATGAATGTAAGTTAATTGACAGTTTGGGTTCTCTATGGTCCCGAAGGAGCTCTTGCAGCCATCCTCCTCTTCCCAGCTCTGTTCTCCACATGTCAACTTGAGAATTACACTTTGCCCTGCCAGCACTCACTGGATGAAATCCAGTGGGCATAAACATGCCACATAAATGGTGATGACGTCATCATTGGGCACCATTCTTCCTGGTGGAGCAACCACCTTTTATTGTCCGATGTATTTTCTTAGCTTAAGGTACACACAGAGCTGTATTTATTAGATGTTGAGGATTAATCCTGTTTCAGTTTGCTATAATTTAATCCTTCCGTTTCCTTCTTGTAAGTATTCAGCAGCTATCTCCAGGCTAAACAATAAGAATGCAAAAAATAAAAAAAAATTAAATAAAAAATAAAAATTCTGGGCCAGAAAGGTGAGCGGCAGCTCTTAAGGAAGGATGGATCATTCTAAGCAGCAACACTTGTAGATGAGGGTTTTTTTTTCCTGGATCCAAACCATGTCATCAGTGATACATATATCATATATCTATGCCAGTGTAGACAGGCCCTATATCACAATTTTTCTAAAAGCTCCAAATGCTACCTTCTCATTCTGAATTTCACCATGAAGCAACACAGGTGAAATGAAGAGATCCCTGGAAGTATGCTTTGTCTCAAAAAAAAGCACACGAGGTGTTGCCAGTACTTTATCTCAAAATCTTTCTAGTGCTATAATGCAAATATTTATGTCCAAAGGCTGAGATGGAAAAAGTTCAGAACAGTATTAAGCAAGGTATGAAATTCCGTAGGCACTGATTTCAGGAACACCCCATATAACTAGGGATTTTAAAACAAAGTTTTCACAGAGGTTCCCGGAAAAGAAAAGAAATAATTAATCTTTACTGAATAGTTTCCTGTTTCAGACTGTTTGGTCTTTAAGAAAAATACACTGGCTTATGTAACCAAGATTATGTAATGCTTTTTCCAAAATGAAATGTTTCCTCCCCAAAATCCTGTAATAATACATACACCAGGTTAGAGTTAATAATTATCAAATTACCATGAATTACAATAGGGATGGGATAATATTCATGAAATTCTTCATTTCTTGAGTGTTTCTTGAATTTAGCCATTCTGAGATTCTTCACAGAGATATCTCCCTCCTGCATTAGCAAGATTTCCTAGTTTTCAAACAAAATGAGACTTGATCGTTTGTGTGTGTATGTGTAAAAATGATCTCCCCTTCCCATTGTTCAGTAGAGGAAGCTGCCAAATGGTGTGCAGCTTAATTATCTTTCTAGTGAATGCTGACCAGGAGTGAAGCCATTCTGTGCAGGAATTTTAGTATATTGTGCCGCATGGTGTTTCCTCTGCATTTTCCAGGTGAATCCTTCACAGGACTCTTGCCATTGCATGCAAGAATTGTATAATCATGAGCAGCCTGACATGTCTCTGGGAGTGAAATGACCACAACATTTTCATGTTATCCCACCAGATTTCCCACATGATTTCTTGGTGGGGAAAAAACTCAGGCAGAGAAATTAAACTCCATGTTATCCCACCAGATTTCCCACATTATTTCTTGGTGAGGAAAAAACTCAGGCAGAGAAATTTAACTACAAGAAAGAAAGAATGATTCCCCCCTGCTTCCCCTCTGTAAGGAGGAAGCCACCACTACCCCTTGTCTTCCTTGTACACAATCCCTTTGTTAGACGACCAGGAGATCCTAGTTTCAGGGCAGCCCAATGGCAAAGATGCCAACGGGCAGCACATGGGTGGTCCAGGAGAGATGGCAGAGCAACATCCCTGGGAGGAGGGCACAGGTGTGGCTGACTGGGAGGAGAAAGGAGTAAAGGAGAAGGTAGAAGATGAAGGGGACTGGTTAGAGGCTCTAGAAGAACAGCCCCTCATCACACACTCTAACAATGGGAAGCTGTGAGAGTCATTTTCCTCCTTGATGGCTTTAAAAGTGAAAAATCCCACAAGTTACAACCAACAATCACTCTGATTTTCTGGAGCATTGAGTGGGGACTCCACTTCATGTGTGTGAGGTTCTGGACACGACTGGAAACAAATAGGCAGCAGCCAGAAGCAAACGGGCGGCAACACTGGCTTGGCTATGTGGCCCCGATGCAGCAGAACTGTGTGGCCACATGGCTGCACAGCTGAGAGGGAATGTTGATTACAATGTAATATGTCTACATGTCAGTGGTCTTAATGTGTAATGAATCCTTATGATGTCACAGATACCTCTGTGATATCATTTTTTTAAAAAAAAATCTCGTATCAAAAGGACATGCCTCCCGTTTTAAGGTTTGGTCCTGAAAATTGACCATGCCAGCCACATCTGAATCTCTCTGGATTTTAATAAATTGAGGGGAGGCTCTGCTTTTGATCCTACTAACCTCCCAGGCATATGGAGTGAGCACATGAAAACTGACTTTTTCTGTGTCTGTTCCAGATTGTCAAACTCCCTTCCAAGGGAAGTGAAAGCTTCCCTGTTGTCCTTCTCACCAGAAGGCAACAATGTTCATCTTTAGATAGTCTTCTTGCCACTGACTGTCTGATGAGAATGGAGCTTTAAATAGGGCCTTTTCATTGATGATGATGATGATGATGATGATGATGATGATGATGATGATGATGTCTTTTACATTGTTTTCAATATGGTTACTTGTTTAATTGTATTTTAATGTTTAAAAGGCATTGCATTTCACTAATTGTTTTTTTTTACATTGTTTTAAATTCATTTGTTGTTTCAATATGATTACTTGTTTAATTGTATTTTAATGTTAAAAAGGCATTGCATTTCACTAATTGTTTTTCAATCGTGTTGGGTGCTGCTTTTGGTCTCAGTGCAAAAAGAAAGGTGAAGTGTAAAATGAATAAAGTGCTGAACTTAGAGATGTGTTAAATCCTAACAGTGAATTAAGGGGGGGAAAGATCAGTGGTAAGAGAAAAAAAAAAACTTTAAATAGTGCTCAAATTAACAAAGCAAGGCTACTGAATGAGAGAAGGTTGCTGAAGATGGGAAAGCACGTTGTAGTAGCTGCTGCTGATTTTTAGTCACTAGTCACAGCTCAGACAGCTGAAGCTTTCAAAACAGGGTCTCAGATCTAGATCTAAACATTCGAAGAGGGAATCTCGCATGAGTGAAAATTGTTCTTCTTGAGGTGTCCTGAACCCATGCTGTTCAGTTCCTTCACTATGAACAACATCTTGACTTGCATCTCAAAGTTCAATGAAAATCAATAATGCTATTTTAAGTTTTAATCCTGGTGTATAGATTTTCTGTCCTCTATCCAGATGGACAAGTGCATTCCTGGTGCAGCCTCCAAACTGTTTCTGAAAGTGGCTCAATGAAAACTTCATTGCAACTGCCCAAATTTAAAAAAGTAAGCATGCATCTATGATAGAGTTCAAATGGCAGGTACAACTTAGTTGCCATCTTGTCAGCCAAAGTGGGTGAAAGCCACAGAAATCACCCCGGCTCCTCTAGGTTACAAGCCTTTTCCTTTTCTAGGGGTGTCAAAATTCCTCAGGATAGGGAAGCCTCAAGGGCAAGAATGAACAGTACACAGCCTGTAAGTAAAAGAGGGCCCTTGCACCCTATCCTCATCCTCAGTGCACTCCCAGCAGCTGCTGACAGAATCCATGCTGCTGAAAATATGGCAGGATCTTCCCTTCCTGTCTGTATGTCTTAGCAATGGAAGGGAAAGAGACAATCTGTCCTGAGGTCTTGCAGAGCTCTATGGCACAAAAGGAGGCTCTGCCGCCTGCCTGGACCACAGAGCCGACAGAGTGGTCACAAGATTTCAGCAGCAGTAACTCCTGTAGTTCACAGCCAGACAACGGATGTGTCCCCTTTTCTCATGCCTTGAAGTTATCGCCCCTGAAGTGTGTCAGCTAGTTATTAGGCCATCAGCATCTCCATCTTGCTCACATGAAGCTTATCCTGATTCACCCTCATCTAGCCTATTACCAATCTCAAATACAGTAGGATCCCTTTATCCATAGGGTCAATATCTGTGGTTTCACTTCTCAGTAGTTTGCCGCCACCTTATGTTTAAAATACAAGTGCACCGCCATGTGACATTTCTCCTGCTCCTTCGTGGATTCCATCCTGCTGCCTTCTGTGTTGTATATAGGGTTCCCTTGTATCTGCAGTTTCAGGCATCTACAGCACTCTATGGAACCAATCCCCCCGCAGATACAGGATTCCTACCATAATGAGGTGTTAAAACGTGTTGAAATGTGAAAGTTGCAAAGAAACCCATAGGTCCATTGGCATTATCGGTATTCTCAGAGCACTCCTTTCAGTCTGACCTGCTGATGTTAACTGCCTACCAAGATTGTGAAATGTTGGATTTATTCAACATATCCGTGAAGGAGTGCCTTTGCGCAATAATTGAAAATTCATGCATGGCATTGAGAAATCTTCAGGTAAAAAACGTTTCTCTGGTTTTATTTCCTCATGTTTTGGGGTTTGTTGCTGTTGGAGAATTCAGTATTTCTAAATATATCATGCCTGTGTTTTCTGAAAGGCCAGACTGTTCTTAAACAAACAGCTGTAATTTACAGCAAAGAGAGAGAGACTTAGTTTTGAGTGACGAGTTGATTCTGTTGCTCAATCCACTCCTTCTATATAAAGTGACAAGTAAACGTTGGGACAGTTAGTCTCTGTGAACCTCGTCTAGAACACCAGGACCTTTTAGGGTAAGTGGAGATTTGTGATCTTACTGTAATCAAGGGAGGGAAGAAAACACTCTTTTGACTTGTTGTCCAATGCAGGCAGGGAATCTCATGAAATTTTAAAACTTACTTGCTGAGGTATCTTGTCTTGTCATGATAGCCTACATCTGAGTGAATGAGGAATTTAGTGGTGGAAAACCTGTTGCTTGGTGTAATAAGTTGTAGTAGAGTAGGCCCATTACATTCATGGGAATTTCACAAGGAAACTGCTCCCATCGCTCAGACCAGATGGGTGGGATATAAATCAAATAAATAAATAAATAAATAAATTCCATGATTCAAATAGGCTTACTCAAGTTGTGATTTGCTATACTAAAGTCAGATGCTACCACAGTAGGCCTATTTGAATCAATGGAACTTAGGGAGGAACTGACTGACCAAATCCCCAATGATTCAGTGGGCCAGCTCTAGTGCAGTTTACTAGTCTGAGCAATAGGGTTTCAGCCACTGAGTATTCTTTCCATCTCTACCTTGTTAATTCTAGAGCAGTGCTTCTTAACCTAGAGTCCCCATAAGTTCTTGAACTACAGCTTCCAGAAATCCTGATCAGCACAGCTAGTGGTAAAAGCCTCTGGGAGTTTTAATCCAAGAACAACTGGGGACCCAAGGTTGGAACCATTGTCCTAGAGACATACAGCAGCATCCTTGATATGGAGCCCACAGATATGTTAGATTGCAACTCTTATCAACTCTAGCTGGGATGTCCACCAGGCCATAGGAGACTGAGGCTACGATGCAGACATTGTGATCTTGGATCAGATTTATGGAATCAACAGATGTGTTTTTAAGTCTTCAAATGTCCGAAACAGAGGTGAGGTGGGAGTGTGTAATGGTGTCTAGGGGGTGATAGCTATCCTGGTTTGTTCTTTTAGATCAGGAGAACATTCCAGCGACCAGGGAGGATTTTTGCAGAGATGATGCTAAGGTAGCATCACTTGTCAATGAGTTATAATAGCTCAGTATGATTCAATAATTCTGTTTGATTTGTATAGGTCACACACTTTGAAAAGATGCATCCATTACTGTTTCTCAGTATTCTTCTTTTTGGCACATCCTTGGCCAGCTCCCCAGCTGAGAACTGCTGTGAAGGTATGTCATTAAATGAACATGGGGAGGGCTCCAGGCTACAACACATGGGTGCACTTCCTAACATCTCAAATCAAAAGGAACTACAGGCATCAGAGAGGGTAAAAACTTTTCCCTGAAACCTAACTCTTAAAAACTGTTAAAAAAAGAAAGAAAGAAAGAAAGAAAGAAAGAAAGAAAGAAAGAAAGAAAGAAAGAAAGAAAGAAAGAAAGAAAGAAAGAAAGAAAGAAAGAAAGAAAGAAAGAAAGAAAGAAAGAAAGAAAAAGAACAGAGATCATATTTCTGGATGGTACCACTTCTGCCTATGTGGTGTAGGGCTCAAATATACCAAAACAAAAATTATAACGCTCATAGGACATAGAAGCAGAATGCCTCAGAGATGCAACCTAGGCACCTATTTTCCTAAGGAAGAAATGTTACCTTTAATTCAAACATGTGATTCGCACGCCTGCAACAGCAGTCTAAAATAGAGCAGTACAGAAGCAGGCTTAGTAACTCAGCTGCTATGGGGTAGGAGCTAACCTTCATCTGGAGTGATGAGAGTTGGCCAAATGGACCTGTGAAGTGGTTCTACCTAAAGGATTTCATGAGGGCAGACAAATTAAGCTATGCATTTCTCAAACGCGTAGCATTCCTTTAAGAGGAAAAAAGACAGCAAGTTCATGAAATATTCTATTAAGTGCTGGCTCTACCATTAGACAGGATGGGACAAATATCCCAGGCAGCAGATTTGGAGGCGCCATTGAAAAGCAACAAATTTGCTTTATATTTATTGTATCTTTATTCTCAGGATGGGGGAACTGTTCTTGTAGGATCTTCTTCGTGTGCCAAAGTTACCTGGCTGGCTTTGAGTACTATGTGCCTTGACTTGAGGGGGTGACACTGTATGGTGCTCCACACTGAGCAGGAAAATTTCTTGGGCCAGCTCAAATTATATCTCTTGCCAGAGTTTTGATGTATTTTTGCTGCTGGCTGGGGGATTCTGAGACTTGTGGCCCTCAAAAGTAACATTTCCAAGCTTTGATGACTGCTTTCATTATTTGAAGCTGACTGGACAGCTTAGTTGTTTAGGTTCCTGGATGTGGAGCCAGAGGTTGGAAGTTCAATTCCCCACTGTGCCTCTTGTGAACAGAGCCAGCCTATGTCGCTATGGCCAAGCTGCACAATCCCAGGGTGTCCGCAGAAGAAGGGAATGGTAAACCATTTCTGTATTTTCTACCTGGAAAACCCTGAAAAGGGTCACCATGAGTCAGAATTGACTTGATGGCACATAATGATTATTTCTAATTTTTGGAGAACTGTGGAAATCTTAGTGAGCATTTTCTTTATCATGCCTTTTGAGAAAATAATAGTGTTTTCCCTTTCAGAGCTGAAGCAGTTGAAAGAACATCTGCGTAAAGTGGAAGAGAAGGTGGATGGTGTTATAAATGATTTTATGACTGTCCACAGAGGTAAGATCAATGCCCTCATCATGTATATAATCTTATCTTCACAGTCTCTTACAGTGTCCCATGATTTAGCTTATGTAATTACTACTGACCCAGGCCTAAATATGATTGGTAATTCCACTGAATCAATGGGATTTATGTATGTGCTGAGAATCATACTCAGCAGTAGAGATGGGGACGAATATAAAAACGGATCGGTTTCATCAATGAATATAGCTGATTCGTCAAATATTCGTCAAATTTTAAGTCCCGATGAATACGGATTCTGCTTAACGGCCCGCTGATCAACTAATTGGCGGGCTGGCAGACAGCCACCCACCCCCACAACCTATCCCACCCCTACCTTTACTGTAGGTTGTCGCCTGACCCCCACTCCCACCGACACCTCTTTACTGAAATTGTCGCTGCCACTGCCAAAGTTTCCATCAGGCCTCTGCAGCTGTAGAAAGGGCCACTGGCTTCCCTTTGTAAAGATGGCGGCTGTGGCTTCATTTAGGATAGGGAAGGTGCACCTGCCATCTTTGCAAATGGCAGCCTGGATTCTCTTGGCCTGCCTTAAAGGGGAGTGGCAGTGGTGCAGCAGTGGGGGGTGGCAGCGGGGGGTGTCTATGGCAGTGGGGGCTGTGTGTGTGTTTTTTTTAAATAACCCCCACAAATTGATGAATAAAATAATTATTCATCTGTTCATGGGGGCAACTTCGTGTTTCACGAGCAACTTCATGCTTCAACGTTTGACTCACAAAGCAGGATTACTCGCCAAAATGGTGAGTCGTCCTCATCTCTACTGAGCAGTTAACTCAATGGCTCTTTTTTAGAAAGCACTAACAGATAGATATAGGGCCACATGCATCAGCAGCATGTCCAAGAGGCTGACCAGGAGGGGCAGGGGGAAGGGAACTGGGAGGCATTTGCAAGCTGCCCCCCAGCCCTTCCAATAATCAGAAAGGCACCCAGTCCAATTAAGGAGGTGCTGCTGCTGCTGCTGCTGCTGCTGCTGCTGCTGCTGCTGCTGCTGCTGCTGCTGCTGCTGATGATGATGATGATGATGATGATGATGATCGCAAACAAACTTTCTTAAGAACATTCTAACACCAGGACATTTTAAAACAACTGAACATTTGTATGTTTCGTTCCCAGCTCGGTCTTTTTCAACTGGCAGTGAAAGGTTATACACCACCAATGAACAAGAAGGGAACTTTGAAATGGCAAGTGCCACGTGCATCCAAGCTGGAGGTCGTATTCCTTCTCCGAAGAAAGAGGGAGAGAATAAATTCCTGCAGGAAGTTGTACAGCGGCGTAACAAACCAGCTTTTCTTGTTGGGCATAAGGGAGAGGGTTACACAAACTGGGCAGATGGAGAACCAAACAATGCTGATGGGACAAAGAACTGTGCAGAAATTGATATTGATGGCAAGTGGCATGCTGCATCTTGTGAACAGGCACACCTGATTGTTTGTGAATTTGCTTTTATCCCCTGATTTTGTTTAGGGCCAAACCCAATGCATTGTAATTGAACAGCATGTATTTTATTGATGCAAACGCTTATTTAGTAGATGACTCTCAGGCAACTTACCTTGCAGGGCTGTTGTGAAGATGACATTGAATAATACCATGTGTGTTTCTCGTTGAAAAGAGGGGATATACGTGTCACAAACCAGTCATTTCAATTTCTGTGGTTTGTTTCATGCATTTTAGTAGCCAATCGCATATAGAAAAAGTGCTTCTTCTTGAAATGCCCAGGGTTTTTTGTGCTTTGAAAATAAATAGGCATCCTTCCAAGGGCTAAATGTGTGTGAATGTGTGTTTGGTGGCACAATGAAAATATGGCAGCAATTACCATGTGTGAATCATTCTGTTTGAGTTGTTTGATTACATCCGTGGTTAAAATCCCATAAGGGGAGGAGTGAAGTGGCATATTAATCTCTGGGAATTGATTGGAAAAATATATAAATTTTAGGTCATTCGGAAATTTCCTTTACATTTTTGTCTTCTGAAGTTATTCTGACCCACCCCAAGCTCTGGGGAAGGGATAAGATACAACAATAAATAAATAAATCACTTTTACTCCCAACACTTCCACATCAGGTCTTATACTCCCTGAGGCAGTATAGAAGAAAGGAAGGGAAGCCTTATATTTCCATGAAGACAAGGGGTTGGGGGAATTTGGGGCACAGCAAGTTCTGAAGAAGTCCGCCCAGAACTCAGCTCTGGGTAGTGCACTACTTCCTTGTCCTCTCAATAAATCTGCAAATCAATGCACCAAGGTGGAGACTGCCCTTGGAGGAAGTCCTTGGGGGACCTGCAGACCAGAGGTGGGTGGGGCCTAGAGAGCAGCCATTTTCTCAATAACATGGAAGAGTGATGTTCTCCACCCCTCGCAACATAGCGGTTCAGCTATCTTGAAAGGTTTTATGCCACCACACTGAATGGTAAGGAGACAGGTGTGCCATGCTATTAAATGGTCATGGAATCTTCACTTTGTAGCTGACCAAGCAAAAAACAAAGCAAAAACCAAACAAACCCAAGTACCTAGTTTCAGGTTTCTCAATGGTCCGATGCATTTCAACAGCTCTCCTTAGCCAATATGAAACTATGTACGGGAAGCATAAGCACATAAAACCCCAACACAATATATGAGGGTTTTGAGAGACCTTAGCCTTCCATATAATAACTTATGCACACTGTTACAGGCTGCTACAATTGCACTGCAATGAACTGCAATGCACAGGTATTTTTCAGTTTCTTCTATAGTGTGCCTGAGATGAAGAAATAAGTAACAACATCTACCAAGGCTTTCATGTTTCTCTGCTGAAACACAGTCAGAAGATACAGTGCTTCTGTTAATAACTCTCTGCACACAGTCTGTAATTGTTCTCTGAAACACCACTGTATTACCCTTGGGTCATGGGCAGCTGTGTCAGTGAATTAAAACCTGATGAGGGGGAAATTTGGCCCCATTTGGAAAGGAGTTGCCTGCATGTAGTATCTCATTGCCAGAAGAGTGTCTATGTCTGTGACAGGTAGACCCTCACAGTTTATCCTCGCAGCAACTAGCTGAGGAACCCTGCTGTACCAAACAACAGGATGATCACACACCCATCAGAAAATATGTAAGAGATGGAAGGGAATGGTGGAAACTCTCCAATCAGGGACCACAAAGCACAACAGGCACACACTCGTGACTGCTTCTTCATTGGTGGAGGTGTCACACACCTTTAGGTCTCTCATCTCTTCAGGGGAGCAGAAGCCACATAAATGGTACCAGATGGCACCTTGTAACCTGATAATGTATTGTAGTGTAGGAGTTATCAATAATTGAAGACAATGTAGTAGTTTTTTTAATACAGAAATGCATTTCAGCAATGAATGGAGTCAAGGGGTCAAGCCAGGATGCTTCAGTAAGGAAACAATGCAGCAGTGTGCCACTTGTAATTTCTTTTCTTTTTTTAAGGAGAGAATCAGGGGCAGAGACATGGTACTCTTGCTCTATGTGTGCTCTCTGTACGCATGTGCCACACCATTAACTCATGCCACTCACTCACAAGCAGCCGCTTTCTGACCTACCAATAGCTATTGTAAAATAGAAACAAGGGAGGAGCAGGAGGTAGGGAGAAGGCCACAGGAGGATGAGGGCACTGATGTCAGATCAAACTGGTGCAATCTACATCACCATGTAAATGACTAGATCAGAACTGCCTATACATCAAGAGCAATTCCTGTGTGAATGGGAAGATTGCTCTAACCAAGCCCTCCCATTCCGAACTGCCTCTTGTTAATCCACTCCTATGCAATCTATGTTTTAAGTGTTGCTGGACCCTTATTCTCTTTCCTTTCAATGCAGGCTTCCTTAACCCAAAGAGGATTCAGGCTGGACCAGCTAATAATAGTTTACAAAACAAGATGCAACAAGGGTAATCTCTACCATGTTACAAAGCAACATAATCATGTGTGTATTTATACTTAACTTTTATATCCTTTTTATTATTAGTATTACACACTACTTGGCTTAAAACAGTATAGATAGTACATATAAAAAAGAAGGAAAGGGAGAAAACATAAACCAAAATCCACAAACTAAAAAATGAAAATAAAAATACAATAATTGAGGTACAGAGTTAACCAGACACTATATTTGCTATTATTACATTCTCTTTCTTTTTTCTTTATCAATCTATTTATCATCAGTATACCAGTGGTGCCTCGACTTATGAACGTCCTGACTTGCGACCAATTCGAGTTACGACCAGCTCCGGTCACAAAATTTTGCTTTGACTTGCGACTGGAGCTTTGAGTTAAGGCTGGAAGAAAAGTGGGGGGAAAGGGGGGGAAATCTGAACTGCTAACTGTTGGTCCACAAAGAGGCTGCTTCTTTGTAGCTCTTTCTCCCCAGTGGTTAGAGAGGGTGCGTTTGCAGAGAGGCTTCGGACTGCCTGGTAAAGTACTGCTTTTTGCTTTAAAAAACTGCCTATTCTGGGTGGTTTTTGTAGCATGGGTTTGGGCTGGGTGGTGGGGTTATGTTTCTATGCTGTGATGGGTCTTGCAGTGTATTTTTCAGTGTGTTTTAATGTGTGGGGGGGTTCAGCTGGAACGGATTAATTGCATTTCTGATGGCTCTTGCAGTTGTGTTTTTCAGTGTGTTTTAATGTGAGTGTGGGGGGGTTCGGCTGGAAAGGATTAATCGCATTTCTGATGGCTCTTGCAGTGTGTTTTTTAGTCCCTGCTGGAATGGGTTTGTTTGATTCAAGGCACCACTGTATATATCATTATCCGTACATAGATCTCAACTTTCTTTATCTCTTTTATGAGTCATTTTACATATTCTATATTTTATGTATTTGCCTGGAGCCACACATAAAATAACTCCCATTCCTCTTTTTATTCCTGTTTTGTGTTTTGTTTTAATACGTTTAATATGTTTTTGTTTTAATATGTCTGAGAGTTTATCTATTTCTGTTATGCTCATTATTTTTTCCATCAGTTCTTCCTTTGTTGGAATCTCAAAGTTTTTCCAATATTTGACATAGAGAATTCTGGCAGCCGTTAGTATCATAATTACTAAGTAACTATTTACCTTATCTATAAAATCTAGTATAATATTAAGTAAGAATAGTTCTGGTCTGAGTGGAATTTCATATCTCAATATTTCTTGTAATATCGCCTTTACCATTTTCCAGTATGCTATTATATCCTTTCAAAATTTAAGGTAGGAACAAACAAACAAACCACACAACCCTGACACCTCTTATTATGGGTCATCAAATCACTTCTAACTTATGGTGATTTTTTTGTACTTATAACCTCCAAATGGCCCTTTCCTTAACTGCCCTGCTGAGGTCTTGCAAACAATAGTGTGGTTTCCTTTATTATGTCAATCCATCTCATGCTAGGTCTTCCTCTTTTCCTGCTGCCTTCCCCTTTTCCAAGCTCTGTTGCCCTTTCCAAGAAGCCTAGTTTTCTCATGATGCAACCAAAGTACTGTATGATCACCTCAGTTTAGGTATTTTAGCTTCCAGTGAACATTCAGCCTTTATTTGGTCTAGAACACTTCTTTTTCTTTCTGTCAGCCCATGGCATTGATAAAACTTCTCTAACACCACATTTTCAATGAGATTGTTTTTCTTTTCCATCAGCTTTTTTTACTGTTCATCTTTCACACAGTGGCCAAAATCCTGTTCTACTTTCATGCCCACAGAAGGTAAATTATTTAACTTGCAACAGCTTCTTGCTGCCAATTAATGAAACCCTGCTTAGATGTTCAGGGGTTCACCCGTCAGCTAACTAGGAGTCATTTGCCTTGTGAATTCTGCATACAGCCAAATCTGTTTGGCTATATCCAGAGGTTGAAAACATTACTTTTGGACTATATCTCTCAAAATATCAAGCCAACATGGCCATCGTACTGGCTGAGGATTCTAGGAGCTGTAGTCTAAAAAAGTCTTTAAAAGTGACCTTTCCAAGTTCTGGATATAAGGCTTCACTTTCTGAACTTAATCATTCTGTGGGCTTGTCTGGTTAGGATCATACGATGAAAGAAGGAAGGCCTGCTAACTAAAGCATGGCTCTGGAGAAGCAACAACATTGAACGTATCTGAGAGTTCAAATGGTGAACAAGAACTAAAGAATCTGGAAGCATTTCACACACATACACACACGTCTTTTTTCTTTTTCCAGCTCCCAAACTGCAGAGGGCTTCTTAAATGTTCATTTACCAATGACCATTAATAAATGGAAGAAGCAGAAACAGAAAGGGTGCTTTCCCTGATTCTGCCACCACTCTCCTGCAAATGCCTCCCTGGTTAGCTTTCTCCTCACTTTCTGATCAATGCCTTTGGGTCATGGTGTTTAATCTTAGAAGAGCAAGTGGATGAGGAGTTCCAGCCAGGGCTGAGACTTTGAGGAAGAACTGGATAGAGTATATTAAGGTTTGGCCACGGCTCTATCAGTGAGCCATGGTAGGTTTATCAGGCTGGTCTGGTAACAATGGGCATTTATATCCAGCATCTTTCAATTTCTCACAATGCCTCCAAATGATCCTAAGTTGGGGGTATTGTGGGAAATGAAAGGATTGGTGGGGCCATGCAGATCAGATCAAGTTTAATACAGTCATAGACCAATATCCAGAAGTACAAATAAATGTACAAAAACAATGAAACACATACAGTGGTGCCTCGACTTACGAAGTTAATTGGTTCCAGAACTCCGGTCATAACTCAAAATGGTTGTAAGTCGAAGCACCATTTCCCATAGGAATGCACTGAAATGCAATTAATTCATTCCGGCCAAAGAA